ATCAAACATGAAATTCTCCTGAGCGTTCTTCGAAAACATTTCGGGATATGTGATGTTGCTTTGTCATGGTTTGATTCTTACTTGATTGGTAGAAGGCAGAAGGTTGTAGTAGATGATGTTTTGTCTCAGGAATTTAAAGTGTTACGGGGTGTACCCGTAGGCTCTTGCTTGGGACCCCTTTTGTTCACCCTGTACACCAGTAGATTGTTTCAAGAAATCCAACGGAAGTCTCCTGAAATTTCCTTTCATTGCTACGCCGATGACACTCAACTATATATATCATTTTGGCCAAGTCAAGTTATTGAAAACAATTCTGTCTTAGCATTAGAAGAATGCATAATGCATACTTGGTTGTCATTGAATAATCTTTTGTTGAACGATAAGAAAACTGAATTTCTGATATGTGGTACTCCTAGGCAAACATCAAAGTTACAAATAGAGAGTATCAAGGTCGTTACGTCACAAATATCACCCTCCACCTCAGTAAGGAATTTAGGCATTTGGTTTGATTCACACTTGACATTTGATAAGCATATTTCTGAAGTTTGTAAGAATGCATTTTACTATCTGTTTAATATCCGGCATATCCGTAAATACCTAACTCGTGGTTGTACAGAAAAATATTATTCATGCTTTCGTGACTAGCAGGTTAGATTATTGTAACAGCTTATTCTTTGGTTTGCCCGACACTCAGATTAACAAATTGCAAAGGGTTCAGAATGCTTGTGCTAGATTAATCTGTAATTCCTCCAGATATTCTCGATGCAGTCCCAGACGCGGTTCTATAACCAATATTTTTTTTTGGGGGGGGGGGGGGTGGGGGCTAGCACGGTGGATCCAGATATTTTTTTCAGGGAGGCGTGTTGAAATGTTGACCGGTTATTTTTTTCCAGACACTTAGGCCTCCGGCTATTTCATTAGGGGGAGACCGTTCGAATCACAATCCTTCTTTTTGTTAATGCAATTTTTTTTTACGGAATTTATTGGGGGGGGGGGGGGTGGGGCTACAGCCCCTTTTCCCCGGCGCTTACCCCCACCCCCCTCCAATATTTTGTATAGGAGTGCTCTGTTTTATTAAGAGGTGCCCTTTTTGTGGCAGCAGCCGTTCGGGTGCCTTTTTTTGTGTTTATTTGACGCACGTTTCGCCCTGAATAGCACCATATATTGTTCGTTAGTGTGAATACCGGGATGATATGTGCAAGTGCCCTTTTCCAACAAAAAAATTCCCCCCCCCCCCCCCAAATCGAAATGACCGGCGTGCTACGCAGAATTCTGCAAAAATGGTTGTTTGACAATACAAACAGCAAATTTGAACAAAAAAAAGTGTGCATTTGTTTTAAAAAAAATCAATCCTTTTCAAATAAACCCTTGCATAATGGGACAAGTTGGCTGGTCTTGGTGCTGAGGTTCACTGGGAAACGGACTTTGTCGTGGCCGGATCCGCGTTTTGCCCCGAAATTTACCAATAACTTCACATTATCTTTATGTGACTATATTGTTTATTATGTAATTTGAATCTTAATTAAGGCAATACTACTAATCTGCATGTGCAAGTGAATATTTCTCAGAAACATTGCACTGGCACATTTCCCGTGTAAAAGGGACACCAAAAAGGGGCTGATGCACTGTGAATCTCGCTCAACTAGTTGTATTCAATCATTAAACACAGTGCTACATAAAGCAGTATCAAATGGGGCACTAGGTCCTGAAATCCCCGAAAAGTTCATGTTTTGGATTGTTTACTTAGCCTATTTAAAACATCTAGTTGAAAGGAAACCAACCCGTAATGTCCTACCGTTCCCGAGAAAAGACAAAAAAAAAAAAAAATCGGTTGTTTCGGACACGACAGAGTACGAATACGTTTTTCGTGTCGTTCTCAGGTGTACAATATACAAGTTGTGTCTCTTGGGAACAGCGGTGACCAATCACCAATGCAAAAACTATGGTTTCTTCAACGTCCGCTTTCGCAAATTCGTTTTCGCACGCATAATACAGGAATAACACAAAAACGCCCTTTTTTTAAAGGATATTTGTGTGAATGTTTATATCCTACTTTTAAATGTTCTTTCCGATTAACATCATCTCGCTCAAAGCGCGTTTTGTAGTCCAATTGGGCTGTTCCAGGACCCAGTGTCCCTTTAACTTGCTTTAACATTTTTATACTATAAAGGGCAATTTTTTTGTTGGTACTCATGTGCACACAGATACTGGAATTGTGGAGACATCTCTCTGTTCTCGTGCACTGAAATTTGAGAGTGTGAAAATGTAGTTTAAAAATGCTCATATTTTAACCAGAATTGATTTCCTGGGCTGAAATTCGGACCAAATATCCCTTACATAACATACTTCAATTTTCGACGCATAAACACACCTTGGAAATTCCTATTATTGGAGTCCCTTACAATCGTTTGTTCCCTAGTGCACACACGTCTCCATGTATAAGGTAATGAATTACGAAACCGTAGTATTTGATTGCATGAATTATGAACGACAAACACATTTCAAAAGCAGGCAGGAGCTTCTACATTTAATTTGGTGGTCGGTCGGTCGGTCGGATTGTCTGTCTGTCTTATCTGTCGGGCCGTCTTTACCGGAAATTGACCAAAATTAAGGTATGGTGTTCCATATGTGCCATCGGAGTCGCATTCTTTTTTTCGGCGTCGTATTTTAAGCTCTGGCAGGGATCATTTTGTTCGATTTCATGTAAGACTTTCATGCAAGACTCTTGCAATACGGACAGAGCTTATTGTGCACTCGCACTTGTTCAAATGTCACAACCTTGGTGTCCCTAATACATGTGAAACCGTGAACTATTTATGACACCCATATGCTGCCAGGAAATTAGTTAGAATGTTTCATCCTTTGCTACACACAATTTAGGTAAAAGTACTATAATTTCAGCAACTAAAATCATTTGTATATATATTTCACTATTGATATCGGGAAACAAATATCAAATAGATCAAAGTGGGCCGCATAACCCTCCAGCCCCCCCTTTTTTTTTGGGTGGGCGCGCGTGAATGACGTTTTTTTTTTACTAAGGAACCGGATATCTAACGAACTGTAAGTCCGATTGGGTTGAAACTTGGTATGTAGGTAGACCGGGATGTGTTAAAGGTTAAAATCGAGGTAACGTCAATATGATGTCATCATGTATCAAATTACAAGCAATTAAAGATTAATTGATTTAATCTTTGAAAATCAATATAAAATCAACCGTGACACAACTGAACTTGAATTTTGTGGGAAATGATCAAATAATCCTGTATCGTCATTTTATCTCCAGCGTGCCAAATCACGTGACCCTCCATTCTGGTCCAACCGGAAGTGCCTTATAATTTGATATATCTCACGAACGGAAAGTCTTTTTTTTTTTTTTTTACTAAGGAACCGGATATCTAACGAACTGTAAGTCCGATTGGGTTGAAACTTGGTATGTAGGTAGGCCGGGATGTGCTATAGATAAAAATCGAGGTTACTTCATCATGACATCATCGTGTGATTTTTATATCGATTTTGAAGTTTTGAAGATTATCGCCATCTCTCGAACCCAAAATGCTGAATTCAAAATTCTTTTTGTGTTAGGTTTGTTAGGTAATAGGTATATGCACACAATTTTTGACAAATGTGTGACGTCACGATGACGTCATCAAAAATGCGATTTTTCAAAGCACATATCAGGGTACGTCCGATTGTCTTGACAATTGGTGGGTAGGTAGTGCTGTGGCATTGAATTCGTGGACTGCGGGTAATTCTGCGGGCTGTGGGTTCGTGTCCAACCAGGGGTTATGGTGCGTGTGTCCTTGTGCAAGGCACTTTGTCACTCATTGCTTCTCTCCATCCAGAAGTAAATGGGTACCTGTGAGGGCAGAGATGGTTAAATGGACACTCTTGTTGGACGATCATTGAGGTAGGACATGAACCATGATTTAGTCGCACCTGTAATACCAAAACGATTCTCAAGTCTGTCAAGAAGTATTCCATGATCAATGGTATCAAACACGTCAAGTAAAACCAGGAGAACAACCTTGTTTTTGTCAAGGGATTGCAGGATGTCATTTTTCACCTTGAGCAAGGCAGTCTCAGTACTGTGGTGGGTTGTATATGCTGATTGGAACCATGGGCGTCGCCAGGATTTTTTTCTAGAGGGGGGCAAACATTTTTTTTTTGCCAGAAATGCTTGCATTTCTCAACATATTCTCGATTTATCAGTTTTAGAGGGGGGCAGGGACATGTTGCCCCCCCCCCAACATTAAATTTACACCACTTTGTCTTCGCCCCTCTTTTTCTTTTAATTTTTTTTTTTTTTTTTTTGCTTTTCCAGGGGGGGGGGGGCAAGTGCCCCCCCCCCTTGCCCCCTCCTCGCTATGCCCATGATTGGACTTTCTCACCAAGATTGTTGTTGTTGACATGATTTGTAACTTGACATGACGCAGCCTTTTCAATTACTTTTCCAATGAACTTGATGTTTGAGACAGGTCGATTGAGGGCATTATGATCAAGAGTGGGTTTCTTAAGAACAGGTGTGATGATGGACCGTTTGTAATGCAAGTCTGTTCAAAGTTCGGGGTTTCAAGGCTGGTATGAGTAATGAGCAGATTGAGTGGCTTTTTGAAAAGAACACCAATGCCGCCGCCACAATTTGATTTTCCACGGGGCACGCTAAGGAAATCATAACCTGGAGGAGTACATTCCCCAATAATGACTGTGTCGTTGTCAGCAAGCCAAGTTTCAGTTAGGAACATGATGTCAACATCGTTCTCTAAGATATAATCAACTAGTATATCAGTCTTATTGCGCAGTGAGCTGGCATTCCAGGTATGAACATTCAGATTGGTATGGGGTTTGGCTCTTGTCAGTGGAATGAGGTTCGGAGGATTTCTCCTGGGGTGTGTTTTACTGTCAATCCTTGTATTTTGACATTTCTGTTGTTGAGTTAGTGGGGCCGAACCAACAAGATATCTGAGGTTGCGGTGATCGATAGTTATGGGCCTACTTACTCCACCTCGCTTTCCACGACGACGCCATCGCTTTCGTCTTCCGATCTTAGGAGACATCTGACCTTGACAATGATGAGTCTGGCATGGCTGACGTATAAGGTTGAGGGAGTCTAGAGTTTGGCAGCTTTCAGCCGACAGAGGACATTTTGAGAAGTTGGTTCTCAATCCGTGCAAAAAAGGTGGCTGCATATTGAATACGTGGCAAAACCGATGTCGATGACGGATGCATAGTCTTGTTGGGGAGATTATCATGCCTCGTGATTGTGAAGCACTGGACTGGCTGATTCACAATGGGGAGATCCGTGCCTTTCAATAGGATGACAGATGTCAAGACAAAAGGATGAGCTGACAATAGAGAACTGGTGTCTCTGGCTGATGTGTATGTAGGTATACTCGAGTATTGGTACAAACAGGATACCAACATCAACTCTAAAATTCCTCCAACTGGTAGCTGGTAGTCGAATCCAGATGACCTCATAGTGCTCTATGGATCTAATTGGGCACGTTTGTAGAAACTGACCGGTAAAAATACCAACATTGAGGAAAATACGGAGATTTGTCTAGAGAGTGGTGGTGAAAGAAGGCACACGGCGCTGCACACACATACAAGTTCTCTCTCTCCCAATATATATCTCTCCCCCTCCCAATATATCTCCTCTCTCCACCGGACCAAAACCCCACTCTCCCACCAGACCAAACCCCCAGGGGAGGGGAGGGTACGGCGCCAGACCAGGCTCTTACTCTCCAATACTCAGAGATCTCTACACAGACTCACAGCGACTGGTGCGCGAGTACACAGTCACCTATGAATAAATAAACAAACAACGTTCTCTTAGGTTTACAAATCAAAGTTTTAACTTTATTAAAAACATGTTACTTTAACAATTGAAAATATAATCTATAAACCAAAGATTAAGAATGATGCCATAGGAGAAGTCTACTTTAGAAGAGGAGAAGTCCACTTCTCCTATGACATCATAATTGTATTTAGACATCATAATTGTATTTAGGCATCATAATTGTGTTGTAATCCCACGTTGCCATGGAAAAAGGTTGTCAACCAATGAAGATCAACGGGAAGGGAAGTTGTTCCCAGAGATGGTAAGGGAGAGCAGAGAAGGAAACGTCACTCACACACAGACCAGGACGGTGGTTCAGATGAGCCCTTCCCAGCCAAGGGCGGATCCAGAACACAATTTTTTGGGGGGCCATAAAAAAAATTTGGTCCCCCCAAAAAGTGGGTCAAAAAATTACGGCGTGGGGTTCGGGGCCCGCTTAAGGGCCCCGAAAAATTTTTGGATTCTAGATGCTCTGTGGTGCGATCTGAGGCAATTTCTGACCACCTTAACCAATGTATTTGAGGAAAAGATGGTGGTGTTCTCATTGCCTGCCTTTATTGCGATGTCACATTAAAAACAAAAAAAATGGTTTCGTTTTTGGGGGGGGGGGGGCATGGCCCCCTTTGGCCCCCCCCCCTGGATCCGCCCTTGTTCCCAGCGTCCTGTTTGCAGGGCGGTGGGTACGAGCTAGCCCCATAAATGTGGCCTATTTACTGGACTGCCTCCGTAAACATAGGCCACACATCCACATGTACAAAAACGTGTCGCACTTTGCCAAATGTTGATTTTCACATTTAGGCTTAGTTTGTAGGATTTCTTTGCTTTAGAAGCATACTCTGTTACTTACCCTCTTTATAGGCTACTCAGAAAGTGCTGCCTTTTTCAGATGTCTAATTTTTGTGAAATTTCATGTTGAAATTTTGATACGCAAACGTGTAAAAATGAATCTGGAAATTTCACGAAAAATATACATCTGAAAAAGGCAGCACTTTCTGATTAGCCTATAAAGAGGGTGAGTATGCTTCTAAAGCAAAAAACCCTACAAACTAAGCCTAAATGCGAAAATCAAAATTTGGCAAAGTGCGACACGTTTTTGTACATAGTGGATGTGTGGCCTATGTTTACGGAGGCAGTCCAGTAAGTAAATAGGCCACATTAATGGGGCTAGGTACGAGCGAATCCATCCTATCGAGGCGAAGTGAAAATGGGGCGAAGTGGGGATGGTTCGACGTGGGGATGGGGCGAAGTGGCGTAGGGGCGATGTGGCGATGGGGGCGATGTGGTGATGGGGGCGATGTGGCGATGGGGCGATGGGGCGAAGTGGTCAGCGCGAACTCAACCTCGTCCCCAGTGCTTACTTGATTTCCAACCTCGTTTCCAATAGTAAGCCCTGGAAAGGAAACTTCCTTCCTGTATAGTATTATAATTATTATTCATAAATACCTCAGACAGTTTAGCCATTCCTATTGGTCGAGAGCCCCGTCACGTGGCCAGTATTAAACGGATGATAAAGACATGGCTGGCTGGTCTTAAACACTTTTCCAGTGTCACAATAAAATATGGACTCCTAAAAATCCAGTGCCTCTTATCGTTTCATTGGTTGAACGTTCACAATTTTCACGTAGGCATGCGCAACACTTCCAGGGAGTTAGAATTTTATAGTTCTAAATTCAAAACGCAACGCGCCAGGTGCGTTCTGCGCGACATCGCGTAGAACATGATACGCGCGCGTCAATCTCCATAAAAGGGTTGTTTTCATCTTACTCGCCAGCTGAACACTCCATTATTTTGCAGGAGGGATGTTTCAAAAAGCATAAAGTGAATTTGTTGAACAAAATCGGGATGTTTTGAACGAATTATATGATTTTTTTTTACCGAAAAGGTATTTATGAATGGGAATAAATATGTACTCCGTCGGTATTTATCACTCTGTTTAAGACCACTTAGAGTCTGGGTGCTGATAATTACCCTCGCCTCCGGCTCGGGTAATTATCAGCACCCAGACTCTAAGTGGTATTAAACAGAGTGATAAAAACCTCCGGAGCACACATTTATTCCCTTATTATTATTTATTCGGCCAACAAATGAACAAAAGTACAATGACAAAGCAAAGCTATATCAAAAAGTAAACAAAATTGGAAATTGAAAAAGTATGACCAGACAAGACTGAAGGTGATATTGCATGTTGTCTCGTTAAGATCGTAACAATAATTCAAATAAAATCGTGTCTGTGTATATTGGAGATCAACGATTCAGACACCGCATACAAAAGTACACGTAAATGTAACGTACAAGCAGGCACCAGACTATTGTCATTTGCATATGCGTGCAAAAATTGGGGGACGAGGTTGGGGCGAACTCAACCTCGTACCCAGGGTGTCGAGCAGTACGCGCCCAGCACTACCTGCTCTCTCACCCAGGGTGTCGAGCAGTACGCGCCCAGCACTACCTGCTCTCTCACCCAGGGTGTCGAGCAGTACGCGCCCAGCACTACCTGCTCTCTCACCCTGGTATTGGATCATTTGCATGTGCAAGATTTTTGCACACGTATGCAAATGAGAACAGTCTGGTGCCTGGATATGCGTTACACATTAGCGTTTGTTTTTGTATGCGGTGTCTGGGGTAAAAACAGAGTCAATTCGTAGCAGCGCGAGCACGGCGTGAGTTACGAAAACACGATTTTTGAAATCAAACTGTTACGATCTTATCGAGACAACATGCAGTATCATATAATATGAGCAAATTGGAAAGGAAATTAGTATTTTCGAGAAGGCGTGGACGAATGATCGCGAAAACACGTACTGCACGTTGTGAATATATAACACCAAGTACACGATAAAAATCCATTACTAGCCGATTACGGTATCCAATCAGGATACAGGAAGAAAGTTTCCTATCCAGGGTTTACTATTGGAAACGCGGTTGGAAATAAAGTAAGCACTGGGGACGAGGTTGGGGCGAACTGACACGGGGCGAAGTGGAAACGGGGCGAAGTGACCAACAACCGTAATGACCGTTTTAGCCGAATTTCGGCTAGTTTTGACAGATTTTTTTGTTACAAAACGAGTTTGACAGAAGATTTGACAGTTTATTTTTAAGGCAGATTTCTGGCGGAATTCTGCAAAACTAAATGTTTTTTTTTGACAGTAAAACAGCATATTTTGCAAAAAAATGGTACGTCTATTTACAAAGCTGCAATCTTTTCAAACAAAAGCCCTTGCAAAATAGGAAACGTTGCCTGGTCTAGGTGCCGGCTGAGGTTCCCGGGAACCGGATTTCCTTGGTGATAACCGTGTTTTGCCTGTAATTTACGCGATTTCATATTATCTTTATGTGGCTATAGATTGTTTATAATGTAATTTGAATATTCTACAGTCCATCATTTGTAATTTGTGCATTTTGTTCGTTTGAAGCAACAAAAGACTTCAAAATCTAATGAAGGATACTGAGCAACTAACCTGATGAAGTTTCAGCTAAGCTTCAGCTGTACATTCCGAGAAAAACAGCATTCTAAGATCTCAATTTCAAATCAAAAGTTACTGAATCATGTTTTGAATTGTTTTGAATTGCAGCTATACGCAACGTCGCGCACTGATCCGACGAATTATAACAACCGCGCGCGCGTGTCCGTCGTTTCAATACTTGTGTGCGCTGTGCTGAATAACAAAACGAACTACTAATTTAAATTTTCCTACGGTGCTTCTTAAGAATCACCGTTGGAAATGCCTTCTTTCGTTGATTACTTCAAAATGACAGCTTCCCAGAAAGAATAATTTCACAGGGAGTTTAGTTCCCTTACTATGTTTCAACCAAGTTTGTTTTTCAACAATAATTATGCCAGTTACTTTTCGGATGGCTGCAAATGATGGACTATAGCTTTAAGGCAGTATTGCAGCATCTGCATGTGATTTAAAGCGTTTACAGTGTATTTCAAGTTATTCTGGGGAATTTGGCAGATTTTAGATAAATCTGACAGATTTTGAAGTGCATTTAGCAGAATTTAGTCATGACCTTACGGTCACCCTGCTGACAACCGATATAACACGCGCGAACTACGGGGGTAAACCGAACTACATGATGAACAATGATGAACTAGGCTGATTTAGGCGTTTTGGTTACGTGTTCTCGTCCTCTTCTCTCTGATTTTTTTAGTCAGGCCTAATACTTTTTAGTCACTTTTTGCTAACAAGACTTTCATTGTAACCCAAGATGACCGGTTTGACGAGAGTCGTTCAAGCAACAAATATTTCGCCAGTTGCAACTGTCCAGCAGCTTCAAACGTTGTTTGGTTATCTCGGAAAATTGGAAGATGTTCGACTTTTTCCAAAGGAGTAAGTATTATAAAAACTAAGGGTCTACATTAACGTTCTTGCTGTTACTATTTTTACTACTCCTAGGACTATGAGGCTCCGCGTGAGCGGAGCCTCATAGATGTAGAAGCCCGCAAAATTGTCTGCAGCACAAAACCCTAATAAAGTACAAAAACGTCCATCAAAATGCAGACATTTCACACAGAACCGCTGCACAGTTTGCCCCTATACTCCGTACTTTACCTCTTGACATACTCACGTATCATGCGCGGAACTAACATACATGACATAGGTGGATTCTGTCGGTTTTTAGGCCAAAATGATGAAAAATATGCCCTTTCCGCACTGAGCCAACTTGACACTTGAAACGTGCACGCATATGATCGAGCGATGATTTTCGGTTCGCTCGGAGCGCGCCGCGGGGGGTACGGTACAGGCGAAATGATAGTATGTGCATGCGTACAAGTGAACGTGGCTTGTTGTAGTTTTAAACTACGCCACGCTGTTGTGTATTTCTGAACCTGGCGAAATTGTCCCTCTGACTCCCTCCATTACACACACTGGACGTTATTTTGCAAATGTAATAATTAAGTACTCACATATGAAGCTGTCTTGAAATCTGTTTGTACATCAAAACTTGCATTTGACGAAATTTGAGGAAAATTCTGGCCCCGGTTTATGAAGTCCTGCTAGCTGCCATTTTCTCCCAAGTGACGCATGCGCATTGCGTTTTATTGTACCGTCCTTCGTATGATTCGACGGCTGTTTACTGTCGCAGCTAAAAGAGACATCGTTTTAGACAAGTTTCAAGTCCTTTCCTCTCTCACCGCACCGCACGCGGGTGCACGTGCGCCCACGTGCGCGCGTGTGCACACACGTACACAAGTACTCCTAGAACTACATGTATGAGGCTCCACGTAGTGGAGCCTCATAGATTTAGAACCCCGCAAAATTGTTGTCAGCACAAAACCCTAATTAAGTACAAAAACGTCCATCAAAATGCAGACATTTCCCACAGAACCGCTGCACAGTTTGCCCCCAAACTCTGTACTACACCTCATGACATACTCACAAAATATGCGCAGAACAAACATCGCTTGATTATGTCGTTTTTTTTGGCTAAAATGATGAAAAAAAAAGCCCTTTCCGCACTGAGCCAACCTGACACTTGAAACGTGCACGCAAAATCGAGCGATGATTTTGGTTCGCTCGGAGCGCGCCGCGGGGGGTACGGTACATGCACTTGTACGCATGCGCATACTATCATTTCGCCGAGCAGCCAATCGGGTGTGGGTTTTTTTTTCGGGGTTGCGACATGAAACAGCCGTCAATCTGTCCAAGCGACTCGTCCGGGGTCATTTGTCAGGGTCACTTGTCGGGTTAAAATGAAATCGTATGGGTCTTTACTGATGGGCAAATTTCGTCGAAATTACACAGACTAAACAATCGGACGGGCAAATTTAGATTTCTAGGTGAGTACTCGGCACCCATACGGAATTATGTATGTCGGATCGATTTCGCCAGGTTCGAAATGACACAAGAACGTGGCGTTGTATACAACGCCACGTTCACGGGTCTAGTCAAGAGGTAAAGTACGGAGTATAGGGGCAAACTGTGCAGCGGTTCTGTGTGAAATGTCTGCATTTTGATGGACATTTTTGTACTTTATTAGTATTTTGTGCTGCAGACAATTTTGCGGGCTTCTACATCTATAGTTCTAGGAGTATAGTTTTACTACATGGACTTTTACTAGTCCGAGTAACCAGCATGACCAGGACTCTACGAATCGCCTTTTTTAACATTTGGAGATGGTATTGGTATTGTTCCGTCATTGTCCGTTGGTTGGGCGTAGACCCGCTTGTAAACTACGCCACGCTCTTGTACCATTTCGAACCAAGCGAAATCGTCCTTCCGTGACAAAAACTGAACATTGCTCTACCGTGTGATGAGTACTCACATATCTAGACCCGTGAACGTGGCGTTGTATACAACGCCACGCTGTTGTGTATTTTTGAACCTAGCGAAATCGATCTGCCATACATAATTCCGTATGCATAATGCATTTTGAGTACTCACCTAGAAATCTAAATTTGCCCGTCCGATTGTTCAGACTGTGTAATTTCGACGAAATTTGCCATCAATAAAGACCCATACGAACGTGTAGAAATTAGATTTTAACCCGACAAGTGACCCTGACAAATGACCCCGGACGAGTCGCTTGGACAGATTGACGGCTGTTTCATGTCGCAACCTCAAAAAACCCCCGCACCTGATTGGCTGTTCGGCTCTTCTCGTGTACGTGTGCGCACACGTACGTGGGCGCACGTGTGCCCGCGTGCGTCGCGGTGAGAGAGGAAAGGACTTGAAACTTGTCTAAAACGATGTCTCTTTTAGCTGCGACAGTAAACAGCCGTCGAATCATACGAAACAGGACGGTACAATAAAACGCAATGCGCATGCGTCAGTTGGGAGAAAATGGCAGCTAGCACTAGCAGGACTTCATGAACCGGGGCCAGAATTTTCCTCAAATTTCGTCAATATGCAAGTTTTGACGTACAAACAGATTTCAAGACAGCTTCTTATGTGAGTACTTATTACATTGGCAAAATAACATCCAGTGTGTGTTACGGAGGGAGTCAGAGGGAAAATTTCGCCAGGTTTGGAAATACACAACAGCGTGGCGTAGTTTACAAGCCATGTTCACGGGTCTATCACATATCAAGCTTTCTTGAACATGTTGAAATCTGCTTTTAGACACTAGCTGGAGTTGTTGCACCCATATTAAGAATCAACGGATTTGTAAATTCGGTGCGCCGAAACTAGGAATTTCAATTTCGGTAACGCATTTGTAAATCCGGTACGGTACTGTCTCGTTCATGTACATATTATGGCACGGCCGGTAAAACAAGGATTATTTTCATTACTATTTATTAATAGAAGGTCCCAAAAATTAAGTATTTAGTGTTAAGAAAATGTAGGTACCGGTAGTTTGGTCAAGCAAAACTATTCTGAGACTGAATGATCACTAGTACTTAAAGCAACGAACTGAGTCGGCCAATTCACCAAGCCGCCATGATGTACTACTAGACTTGTTGCCAGTCTGTGTACGGTACCAAAAAAATACGAAGAAAACCGTGAAATTTTGGGGGGGGGGGGGGACATTGCCCCCCCACCTTCCTCCCAACGGATTTTTTTTTTGATGTCTACATGTCTACATTTTGGTGCGGTTGCCCCCCGACATCAAAAGCTGGGCTGGGGGTTGGTGGCCCAGCGAGATTTGGCCTTGATTGTAGGCCTATACCCTACATTGAAATATATAGTGTGGGACCATCAGATTGAACAGTTTACATTAAAATACATAGGCCTCTAGGAACCCACTTAAAGCTATAGTCCATCATTTGCAGCCATCCGAAAAGTAACTGGCGTAATTATTGTTGAAAAACAAACTTGGTTGAAAGATAGTAAGGGAACTAAACTCCTTGTGAAATTATTCTTTCTGGGAAGCTGTCATTTTGAAGTAATCAACGAAAGAAGGCATTTCCAACGGTGATTCTTAAGCACCGTAGGAAAATTTAAATTAGTAAATCGTTTTGTTATTCAGCACAGCGCGCACAAGTATTGGAACGACGCATACGCACGCGCGGTTTTTATAATTCCTCGGATCAGTGCGCGATGTTGCGTATAGCTGCAATTCAAAACAATTCAAAACATGATTCAGTAACTATTGATTTGAAATTGAGATCTTAAAATGCTGTTTTTCTCGGAATGTACAGCTGAAGCTTAGCTGAAACTTCATCAAGTTAGTTGGTCAGTATCCTTCATTAGATTTTGAACTCTTTTGTTGCTTCAAACGAACAAATGCTAAAATTACAAATGATGGACTGTAGCTTTAAATATCGCTTCCTTGTTTTATGGTTGACGGGTCATTTAGCATTAATATTATGTTAATTTATAAGTGTTCGTAAAAAAAATTCAAACAAAACAAGAACAATCAACTACCGGTATTTCCAATAAAGTCTAAGGAATACATGGGCGTCGCTTGCCTCCTCCGAAGCAAAATAAAATAACATAAAATATTAGTTCTATGGGTTGGGGGATGTCCCTACCCCCTCGAAAGAAATGATAAATCGAGAATACGCTAGAAAAAGTACAGGGATTTTGGTGAAAAAAATGTAGTTTGTCCCTCTATAACTAAAAACAAATTCCTAACGACGCCCATACAAATACAACACCAAATAGCCCGCCAATCTAACTGATTATTTCAGATACAAGTGCAAAGAATTCCAGCAAGACAATATCCTGTCGGAAATTTACCTGTTTTTATGCCCCGCGGCGAAGCCGAAGGCGCATACTGTTTCCGCCTTGTCCTTCCAGGGGTGAGCTTGTCTTACATACGCAGTGTGGACTTCCGAACAAAAGACGTCCACATAATGTAGGTAGCAGCGACGAAGTGTGGACTTGCCCACGTCCACACAGTGTTTCCCCATTTCTGGAAAACAGGTTTAGAGGCATTTTTGGGTTAGGTTTATCTGTAGCAGAATGAAGAGAAACACTAAAGGGAATCATTGAAAAAAAATTGGGTTGTAAGAGTTTTCACAGTTTGAGAAATATGAGTTTTTCCACTGGTGTTCCTTAACTACACGAAAAGAAAGGAAAGTCCACACTAGGTATGTGAAACAAGTCTGTGTGTGTGTGTGTTCCTGCATGGCATTACGCCTGAGGACAGACAACAAAAGGAGCACAAAGGGGCCATTGATCCTCGAAGGAAGGTGCCTATTGTCCTCGAACGCAGGTTTGTGTGCTTAGTCTATGGGAGAGTGTTATATTACAGGGACAAAGGAAAACACAAAGCCAATCCTCGGAAGCATAGCAGAAAACGACTGGGTGTGCGTGGGTGGGTGTGTGTGTCCGGACAAATCTTGTCAGCGCAATAACTTGAGAAATACTTAACATATGAACTTCAAATTTGGTTTGTGGATTGTCCTTGGTAATCCTAAGAAGCCTTTTGCATTTTGGGCCGAAAGGTCAAGGGTCAAGGTCACAGTGGCTGAAACAACAGAAATTTTGTCAGCGCGATAACTTGAGAAATACTTAATATATGAACTTCAAATTTGGTTTGTGGATTGTCCTTGGTAATCCTAAGAAGCCTTTTGCATTTTGGGCCGAAAGGTCAAGGGTCAAGGTCACAGTGGCTAAAACAATAGAAATTTTGTCAGCGCGATAACTTGAGAAATACTTTACATATGAACTTCAAATTTGGTTTGTGGATTGTCCTTGGCAATTCTAAGAAGCCTTTTGCATTTGGGGCTAAAAGGTCAAGGGTCAAGGTCACAGTGACTAAAACAAAAGAAATTTTGTCAGCACGATAACTTGAGAAATACTTTACATATGAACTTCAAATTTGGTTTGTGTATTGTTCTTGGTAATCCTAAGAAGCCTATTGCATGTGGGGCCGAAAGGTCAAGGGTCAAGGTCACAGTGGCTGAAACAATAGACATTTTGTCAGCGCGATAACTTGAGATATACTTTACATATGAACTTCAAATTTGGTTTGTGGATTGTCCTTGGGAATCCTAAGAAGCCTTTTGCATTTGGGGCCAAAAGGTCAAGGGTCAAGGTCACAGTGGCAAAAACAAAAGAAATTTTGTCAGCGTGATAACTGGAGATATACTTTACATATGAACTTCAAATTTGGTTTGTGGATTGTCCTTGGCAATCCTAAGAAGCCTTTTGCATTTGGGGCCAAAAGGTCAAGGGTCAAGGTCACAGTGGCAAAAACAAAAGAAATTTTGTCAGCGTGATAACTTGAGATATACTTTACATATGAACTTCAAATTTGGTTTGTGGATTGTCCTTGGCAATCCTAAGGAGCCTATCGCATTGGGGGTCGAAAGGTCAAGGGTCAAGGTCACAGTGGCTAAAACAGTAGAAATCTTGTATTTATTCTGAGATCATAGGGATTAGGGATTAATTCATATAAAACCTACAGAAGACACTAATGCTGTCAATGAACGTTCCATTTGACCAAGGTACATGTAAGTTGATGTTAGAGTGGTGTTATGTCATGGAAACAGTCACGGTTGCGGGGCATTTGTGTTTGTAAACACACCTGACTTGTTTTATTATTCTTTAGTTGATATATGTTAAGAAGGGTTAATTACATACAACAAATGATTAAAATAATAAAATCTATTTTTATATTTGCTTAATAATGTTTTTTGAGTGTGCGTTTTTACCCCGGGCAAAATCAGGGGTCTCGGGGTAAAGACGCCCAGTACATTTCTTGACATCAAACTCTGTTGCAGCCTCATTTATCATCAAAAACCTCGCTATTAGAACTTTCTACAGCCATATGTTTCTTGTATGAGTATAAAAAGTATTATCTATTAGAGTCCTACCACATAAATATTAAACAGTGTATTGTGTGAAGTGGGGAGGTACATGTAGGCTGTATAACTAACTGACGTTACGTAGTGGCAAGGAATCTGACATTTGTTAATGAATGCCCGAGAAATCATGAATTCGTGGCAGTTTCTCAAGAAAAAACAAAATAACACCTTTATGGTGATTTGAGTATACTTTTAATAATTAAAAATGACTAGAAATGGTTCTAAGACCCAACTAGACCGGTTTCTGCTCTCATGCTATACTAGCAGAGCTTCATCAGTAGTAAGCCAATATCGGTATTTTATATTCGGCTAAAGTCGTGTCAAATGTTACAGTGCATAGATACCGGTAAGTGCATGTAATATAATTTTGTGTCAACCTCGTGATGAGTCCAATTCCCGGTTAACGATAAACATTGATTTGACAAGTAAACCTTTCAGACTTTTGGCCTTTTTATAGGCAGGAATTGGTTCGCTGGGAAACATATTGCATAATTTCGGGTGTTCCGAAATTAAATGCCAGTCTTTCAGCAATGCTTTTCTTAGCTGCTTGGTTTTGATGTGTGGTGTGTAGATTATCTTGAAGACTAGAGGTGGTTCTTTTGGTTGCGTTTCATTCATGATGTATTGCTCACAGTTTTCAAATTTTATGTCTTTTATGACCGGCAATTTCCTCTTTCTTGTGGTTACAGAGTAGAACTTTCTCCATGATTGCATTTCTTTGCTCTAAGAAATCTGTCTTATTGTTACAGAGATGTGCATATCTTAGTATGGTAGTTCTCCTTTGATAAAGCCTTAGGTTATCAGCAGTAGGCTAGAAACATACATGTATGGTATGCCTAATAATATTGACTATGCTTTGGCTCAACCTGATTGAAATAGATTTTTCAATATTGGCAGGCATTATACTTACATAAATTTGTAAGCCTCCAAGTCTGTTATGGGCGAATTATGTACGCTAATGTTCCACTTCCTTCCACATAAAAATACCTGTTTTTAAATGATCAAGTTTGTAGTTATAATTAACCAGCTGTGTTTGAAAAGTTATTTGTACTTGATGAAGTATCCCTCAATATTAAATTAATCACAAAAACATGACTATACTACAGGGAAACCTGTGGTATATATCCATTTTTTTTTTTATAAATGTGGGTGGGCGTTTTTTCCCCGAGGCCCGGGTAAAAACGCCCGCCAAACTTCCTCCCGAAAAGGGGGGAAAATTTCCCCTTATCAATATAATGATTTTATATTTGCACCTGATAGAGGAGACATGTGTTACATAAAACCACATATTTATTTTCTAGTGTCTCCAAGTAGTACTGAGATATTTAACAAAAACCTAAAAATCTGGCGTTTTTACCCAAGTTTACCTTATACAGACTGTGCTATGCACTGTTGCACATGTTCAATGGGCACTGCTCCCGTTATACCGCACCATGGTACGGGTACGGTTAACATGCATGGAAATGGTGGCGGCACGGTTGGATGTATAGGCTTGACCATTTCTTGAAGTGGGAAGATCCCACAATGGTGTGGTGGGCCTCGACCATTTTTTGAAGTGGAGGATCACGCAACGGTGAGGTGTAAACATGGAGCGCTGTTATACGGGCACTGCACTCTATACCGCTATGTTTGCAGGTCTACCGGAGGCCAAGCAATTTGCCTGTTCCGAATAGGCACATTTTGAACAGGCACTCCAGTAGTGCATCTAAATCCGAATCAGTCACCTGACTGCTCTTCTGACATTTAGGCGCGTGTGCGGCAGTGTTGTAGTCGAGTCACCAACGTTGAGTTCGAGTCCGAGTCTCGAGTCACTTGTTCTTAGTTGTTCACCAAACTAATAAGAATGTTTTAAATAATTTTTAGAGTACATCACAGTGTATACATTGTACCTTGTGTGTGTACATTTTGTTTAGACTCAAAATGTGATCCCCCCAAAACCCCTCTTCTATGATACCGAACACTGTTTGGCATGACACCGGGGCCTGGTGCTCTTCGTGCAGGCGCTAGGCGCGTGTAGGCGTCCCCTGGAGGCGGTGCCGTGTTTTGTCTATGGAGTAAAAAGAAAGCTACGTTCGTCGCACCAATACGTTAGGTTATGTTTTTTCTTTTAATGAAAATAGGTTGCTTGAGTCACGAGTCACAAAGCTCGAGTCTTGAGTCATCATGGTCGAGTCCAAGTCGTTTCCTAATGTGACTTGAGTCGAGTCTGAGTCATGGAAAATGTGACTCAAGTCCGACTCGAGTCTGAGTCCTGGACTCGAGTCCAACAACATTGGTGTGCGGTGTCTTACAATGTACCTCCAAAATGTGCCTGATTTGATATTGCATTGTTTGGGATAAAGTTGTGACCCTTTGTTTTTCTAGGGACTCTGTGCTACCTGTGACATCTCGTGTTTGCTTCATTGTGTATGAGGATCCAGCTAGTGTGGGAGTGGCCCAGCATCTTACTAACACCGTTTTCATTGACAGAGCACTTGTTGTAGTTCCTGTTCCTGATGGTAAGGGCATTTTATTTAGCTCTTTAGACGTAAACAAAAACTGTGTGTGTATAATAATAATAATAATAATAATAATAATCACCCTGGATTAGACATTTTGGAGACATCCCCATAGACTTGTGCACACAATTTTTCAAACTTAAATGTGCCCTAACCCAATATTCAATTGTCCTTTTCCCACGAATTTTGGTAGGTTTACTAATTAAATTAGACCACGAGCAACAAATATAATCTGATTGCGACAGCAAAATTGTGCCTCTAAAGGGGGGGCTGTGACACTAGGGAGACATGAAAATTTCTCCCTAATGACCGATGTCTCCCATCGTGCGAAGAAATTATGATAACGTGTCTCCAGCTAGTGTGGGGGTGGCATGGGTGGCTTGTGCGTAAAGCGCTCGCCTCTCACCAAGGTGACTACGGTTCAAATCCTGGCCGCTGATCGCATGTGAGTAGAGTTGTGTGTTGGTTCTCTCCTGTGCCACGAGGGTTTTTCTTGGGCCCTCCGGTTTTCCTCCCTCCGGAAAAATCAAACACTTTCAATCTCAGGCTGTGCTCCGTGGTCATATATGGGTCTGTGGCCGGCAGCCATAGGCGCCTTTGTGTACCAGCGGCCCGACCACGTTGTAGCCGCGTCCTTCGCAATTCAGCATACCAGCTGCGAGTAAGGATGATTAGCCTCCCAAATTATTATTATTAATATTATTATTAATGGTACAATTACACGTATAATTATAATAACAGGTTCTTATACGTCGCTTTTAACTATGATCAAAGCGCTTTACATTATTATTACCCCTATGGTAACCCTACCTCCTGGATTTTAAGGGGTGTGAGTGACCACTGACAAAAAGGGCTGAAAACACCTGAAAAAAAGTGTAAAAGAGCTGAACTTTGGAAATCTCCTATACTTTTGTGCACAGCAAGTCGGGGAAAAAGAGCTGAAATCCTAAACAAAAAAAAGCTGATAATCAGCTTTAAAGCTGAGATTTCACACCCTGCAATTTTTTTTGTGAAACAAATTTAGTTCAAAAAGCAATTTGCCACCTAATGAGGATGTTTACATACCGGTAGTTCCACTTTTAAATATCAGTGAGGAGGACTTTAATAAGGGAATAAAGCTGATAAGTTGAAACTTATGATTACTTAAGTTGATTTTATTTTGGTTTACACTTTTATAAAAATCAATCTTAAGAATAAAGACAATAACAAAGCAAATACTTTTTTGGTACATGTAGTAAGTAAAATACCCCAAAATTATAATTTTCAAAAGATGCATCAAATTATACATCAAATTAAAGCTTGTAACCAGAGAAATTCAATGGTGCAAACTGTATGCCGATGCATTGTTTCTGTAACAACTTACAGCCTTTTGAAGTTTCAAAGTCTGCAGACCCTTCTGCCGGGTATTTTGCCGTGAAAGGCAGACCCTAGAAGCACACAGGTTTTTTACTTTTATTCATCAAATTTGAACTCAAAACACTGTAATCTTAACTGGAAAGATAGGCTATAACTAATTTGACATTGATACAGGCCATTGGAATTATCAATTCCCAATAAAAGTGACATCTGAATTGTGGTTGTTTGATCATGATAAGTTTATTAACCCTAACGTACCTGAATCCATCAATATCCACCCCCCTGTTTCGGGGGATTTCGGCGGATTCAGGATACTTCCATATTGCACAAACTGGGGGATTTTGATGGATTCAGGATTGGAAGCCTAGCGGAACTGGCGGATTTTGATGGATTCAGGATACCTCTATTTTGAGCTATTGGGGGACTTTGATGGATTCAGGATCTCAACAGTTTAACTCTTTTGTAATGTTTGTGGTCAAGTAAATACTGCTGGCACTAGCCCTGCCAAGTCTGTCACATACCGGTACTGTACAAACATGTACACACATGTACTGGGTGGACTTGCATGGAGGGTCACGTGCTGGAGGAAAGATACAAATAATGCCAAAAACATGACGAGCGCAACGCCGTTTACGCGCAAAGAGCACCATGTGCATCGTTAATAATTATATGTGCGCATCGCGTAAATACTCGGTGCGCATTTCTAGCTTCGCGCGCATTGAGCTAGGTCACGTGCTGGAGGAAAGATACATTTAGCTCCATTACTTTGCGTTAATTTGTTGCGTGTCCAAGAGAGACATTAAAAATGGCGGAGATTTATCGCACAGTGAATGGGCGCGTGTGGACGCGCTGCTGATCTAGTCTTTTCATTCTATCTATGGTGTATTTTGATGGATCCTATGGAACAACACACATCACAATTTTCATGCGACTCTATGGAAAAACATGCTGTATTTTTGTTGATGCCACCATGGTATCCTGAATCCGCCAGAATCCATCAAGACTTTTGCTGATGGACTTTGGCGGATTCAGGATACCTCCAGTATCTACACTGGGGGATTATGATGGACTCGGGATACCAGCATTTTTTGCATGACAAAATTGGTGGACTTTGGCGGATTCAGGATACTTTCTAGTAAAAGAGCCCCAGGAGTTAGGGTTAATTAAAGCTATAGTCCATCATTTGCAACTATCCAAAAAGTACTGACGTAATTATTGTTGACAAACATACTTGGTTGAAAGATAGTAAGGGGACTAAACTCCCTGCGAAATTATTCTCTCTGGCAAGCTGTCATTTGAAGAAATCAACGAAAGAAGGCCTTTCCAACGGTGCGTCTTTTTAAGACGCACCGTTGGAAATTTCCGTTAGTAGTTTGTGTTTTTAATTCAGCGAAGCGTTGGTACGATGCACACGCTTGCGCGGCTGCTTTAATTCGTAAGATTGGTGCGCGACATTGAGTAGCTACAATCGGCTCAGTGAGAACGTGTCTCGGACGCTGAATTCTGGCCCCATTCAAAACATGATTCAGCAACTTTTGTTTGAAATCGAGATCCTAGAATGCTGTTTTTCTCGGAATATATAGCTGAAGCTGAGCTGAGACTGCATCAGGTTAGTTGTTCGGCACCCCTCTTTGGATGTTTAACACTTTTGTTGCTTCAAACGAACAAAATGCACAAATTACAAATGATGGACTATACCTTTAATATCATTATCATAACAGCCCGGAGGACTTTGGACTTTAAGATAACCTGATACATCAGTCTTGGATCAAGACGTTCTTTGCGGTCATTCTGCATATTGAATCGCATGATACCGTGCACGCACGCTGCACGGATCGCTGTACGAGAGGGTCGTGGAACCAAGACTAGCCATTTGCATTTTGACACGAACTCAGCTTCTTCCCAATGAAATACGAATCCCTGTAGTACTGCTGTGTTACAAGTGATGCTGATGCCGCAGCACGTTGTGCATTGCACATGTATATATTCGTTTGGCCAGTGATCGCTTCAGTACCGGTACGATGTGCATATTTGGTGCGAAAGAAATGAAGACTAACCTACAAAACTTGTTAATTAGGTTCCTTTTTAAGTTTTCATGCATCTTTTTGGCAGTTAATATGGAATTCCGTGCTGTCCTTATTTTTTTTATTGTTTTCGTCCGTTTTCCGTATCGTGAAGAACTTCGGACTTTAAGATAACCTGATACGTCAGTCGTGACAAAAACTGGTTGTGTTGTTTCTCCTTGGATGTTTTGGGGATTTGAATTCTACATCGTCATGCATAAGTTTTACCAAAATATAGGCCTAGTTCCAAAGAATATCAGTGACAAGAAACAACCGCGGCAAGTCTTGGTTATGACTGCCTAATCTTACCCAGGTTTCTTCAGTCATGGAGCAAGATTCCGCATGAGATTTGTGCGAGGTGCACTTGCAGTGAAAGGGAAGAGAAATTAAAATGTTTGTTTTCGTTATATGCCTCGCTTTGGGCAAAATGTGGGTGGAAGGGCAAAACCAAATATTGATGCCTCACTTTGATTTTCAAGATGGCATACCCTGAGAAAGATCTATGGTATGATGCACATGTAGTTGTCCTGCAGTTCAGTTAAAATACTAAGGGCAGCCCCTGTACAAACAATGAAATACTGGATTTTTGGGAGATTTGATCTTGAAATAATCCTTTGTGTCTGTTGGTCTGCCTCTAAAGATGGAATCCTTGATTGAAGTAGCATAATCCATCCAAAAAAGTCCCTTTCAAACCTCCACATTATTAAATTTAAAGCAAGACCTGTTTTAAACCCATGGTGTGTAGGTAAGATACCAGATGAACACCAAGCATTGCAGTTGACATCCCAAGGTAATGGGTCAACAGGATTGATGCCAGCTCCAGGAAGTGGATTACTACCAACTCCACCACAACCACTGATGTCACAGGTACACATATGACTATTACCTTTGTTACAAATGACGTACATGTCTCTTCCAATTGGCAGATTTTTTTCCTAAAGTATATACACGTAGGGAATTCAGTGTCATGCAGAAAACTGATAATTTTGTAGTGTGTTTTTGTCACATTTTCATTAGATTTCTGTGTTGGTTACTTTAGGGATGACACCGAAAATATATAACCTGTTCTTTAAATTAAATGTCTAAATGCATTCCTTGCCATTCTGTACGGGAAGCAATGAAACTGAAAAATAGGACCATTCTCATGTAGTGGAATGGGGGTATTATTGCTCACTGGTGAGACAAGAATGCTCCATTGTTTTCTCCTATGCAGCCTGGTTTCCATGGGTACGATCTTGTTGCGCCATGTTGTTTCCCATCATGCCTTGCGGGATCTTAACCCCTGGAATTGTCTAATTTAAATGAGTCAAACAGTGGCACATTTAAATTAGGACTGCAGTCAATGTATTTTACGCGGGACGCAGTGCTTAAATTGTTGCAAGTTGTTTCTTTGACGAATCAATCCTTTCAAACATGAGGTTTTGACGTCGCATAATTTAGCAAGACTTTGTATTAAATGTATGTACCTCTTTCGTCCCTTTACTTTTTGGGTGAAAAACGAGGCTACCATAATCCATATCGTTCAGGTATCGCGTTTGTTCGTACATCACGTGACATGCATAGCGCGCGAGTGCATTATATAGGGTGTGCAGTCTTCAACATACCCCGGTATGCACGCAGTATGCTCTGAAAAGCCGGTTAGTATCTTTTACGTGTTCATCACGGCCAGGGGTTAGTGAAGAAACACGCATGCGTCCATGGATTTGAGGCTGTCTCATACATGAGGCTGTCTCATACATGTTATCCACAACGATCCTGTGCAGGTCGCTAGCAACAACAAAAGTATGCAAAATATGGTGACAAAGGGGGGGGGGGTAGGAAACCTCAGAGCATACCGGCTACGGTTTATATTTCAACACAAGTTGCTGAAATTGTTGAGGCAAAAAAAAAAGAGTTCTGCTTCCGGTTATCCTACCTACCCTATGAGGTAAAGCCCCCCCCCCCCCAAAAGGAAAAAATAATTACTTTAACGAAAACAAAAGCTGTTCCCAATTGAAATTGCGAACAGCTAATTATTTCTCATCTCAGCGGCGTGGCCTCCAATATGCCTGGCCTTTAAATAGAAACTTGGCTAGAGCCTGGCCGAAGTTTAACTGCAGAAGTCCCAACATGTCAACCACGAAAATCAAAGACGCCCAACCGGCAATTACCTGGAGGTATTTTTGTTATACACCTACTGGTTGCATGATCGATCAGTCAGGTCAGTCAAGTCTATTCATAGGGTCTGTGTCTATTGCCATTGGACGGGGATTTTGTTTACGCGCCACTTGATTGGTACACGTTCACCTATAGTAGCGCATAACAATTTTTCTATTGGCCGAGCTGTCATGCTATATTCGTCCGTGCGTTCTGTAAACTTTTTTGCCAAGTACAGCATTGTTTTGCATGCATTCACGGGAAACTTGAACGTGATGAGTAGTGGCCAGCTACCGGTAGCTACCACCGATGCTTTTTTGTTTTGTTTTCTAGTCTACTGACCTGCAAGCTCTATTAATAAAATATTTACCCGGTACTCTAAAAGACACCATTTCATAAAGGCACGTTGCTATAGCCTGTTGGGCAACTTCAGTAAGGTTTAAAACCTCGGCAGATTTCATGGCGTTAGAACGTCTGGAAATCCACCACAGTCCTGCACATTTTTTTTATGTGAAGTGGTGGAAACTACGTTGGTGGAAAATACGTCGGTGAAGGGCAAAACCTAATATTAAATTGACATCACCCAGACGCAAATTCCATGTTGTGAATTGGTTGAAAATTACTTTCGAAAAATCTATACGAGAATAAGCAATGACATTAAGAACAACAATACAATAATAAAAGTGTATAATGGTCGCAAAGTTGGATGTTGGACAGACAAATTATTGGGTTTTCTTTATAAAACTACAAACATTATTTCGATAACATTCTGAATAATTCCTCATCTCAGCGGCGTGGCCTCCAATATGCCCGGCCTTTCGACAGAAGCTTGTATTTTGCCTTAAAAATTATCTAATAAATAAATTAATATCCAACCCAATGTTGACACTGGGTTTTGTGTTTGAGACCATTCCTCCATGTTGAGACCATCCATGGTGCCATTTTAGTTGGTGGATTGATGAAGAAAGGGATATTTTGGTGGACGACACGTCATTCTGGTGGACATACGACATGCCATTTTGGTTGGTGAAACATCTTTTTGGTTGGCGAAATGTCATTTTTGGTTGGCGACACGTCATTTTGGTTGGCGACACGTCATTTTGGTGGACGACATATCATTTTGGTGGACAGACATGTTATTTTAGTGGGTGTGATTTTGGTTGGATAAACACGCCATTTTGGTTGGGGAAAACACCGTAAAAAAACACATCTTTTTGGTGGGAAATATGTCATTTTTGGTGTAATTTTTGGAAAAAAAAACACGTCATTTTGGTTGGAAATGCAGCATTTCAGTGGGAAAACAGGGGTATAGGCCTACTTATTATAGCGTTTTGGTAGGGGCTACATAGTACGTGTACGTGACATTGGACTGGTACGTTGAAGTTTAAAGGTTGTATTTATTAATACCTTCTTTATCTTTTATATGAAAATTCTTCGTGTTTAATTAATTTAAACTGTATGGGCGGATCCATCTTATAAATGAATATTCAAGATTAAATCCAATGTTCATGATGTATGACGATGTCTTTTTGGTGTTTCTCGAACAGTGTCTTCCGTGTCTTGTCATGTCGTTCTCCCTTACCTGACTGCACAGGTCAGAAGCAACCCAGGTTTGGTCTAAACCAGTGTGTTCAACTGTCTTTTCCAGGCACCTGATAGCACAGAGACTGGTGTGAAAAGCACCAGGTAGCAGCCACCACTTTCCCTTGTACTGGTCACTGAGATGTTCAAGCTTCACTGCTCTCTTGTAAAGATCCATATCTAGGGTAACCATGACAGGACCAGGGTTGGTTGGGCATGTGATGCAGTTGAGTTTGTAAAGGGTCTCTAGCACGGTTACAATTGTTGACCATTCATGGGCTGGATTGTTATATTTTGGCAAGGTGTGAATGCTGTCCAGTTGGCAATTAGCAGAGTCCACTTCAGAAATCTGTGAGTTGTATGCACGCCATACTGGAACAGGTTGTTTGCATGCCTGGGTTTCTTTTTGTTCTTGGTCATTCTGGGTGAGTGAGTTCTCATCAGCATTCTCAGCAGTATGTGACTTGTCAGCATTTGCTTGAGAAATGCAATCAGAAGGGTTCTCGGGTGGTAAGAAACAGACATGTTTTTTTGGAGCTCGTAGCAACGAAACAGAAACCATAACAGGTCTAGCTGTTGTGCACACTCTACTTTGTGTTGATGAGTACCAAGTTGGTATTGCTCATAACAAGGGCTTGTCCATGGTCTAGGACTTCCAGTGATTCTGCAGGCTTTGAGCTCAACCACTGTTGAGGAACATCCTTTAAGGAGTCCGTAAACTTGCCAGTTAACGCAAGTGGCTCTCTAACAGTGTCGCAAGTGAAATCAAGTGGTACACAACCATCTGGTGTGTCAACCGTGAAGTCAATGATGGCCCTAGAGAGGATGAGAGAGAGCACACGGACATGGATATAAGTGGTCAGCTTCGGCTAACCTTCGCCGAGCGTTTATTGCTCTTGATGATACAGTCCCATGTATCTTACATGTATTAACCATAGAGCTATATAATAAAGAACTAGAGGGCGTACTTCCCATTAGCCGCAACGCTTTACCGCTGTGCGCGCACGGAGCACTGTCGGCCATTGCCAAACCGGGCAAACAGAGCGCGAAGTACCCGGATGTTGTACGCCGGGCGTATACACAATACACATGGAAGTGTAGAAAGTGCGCGATGTACAAAATGTATACGGCAAAATTGTTTTTTACTGAGCTTTTAATTTGGGTTTTTTTATTTGGTGAAAAAGTTAAGGTACACTTAACTTCCTGAACGCGGCGTATTAATCCAAACACCAAAGTTCCAGCAACAGACGGGGAATTCGGGTCGTCATCATGTACCATCGTACTCGCAGGATTCACCACCGCCGTAGGCTGCGACGTTGAAGGGGCTGGCCGGGGCGCAGGCACGGAAAAGGCCCGAGGTACTACTGACCTAAAAACAGGATGGTTTTTGACAGATGATGTCTTGTTGATGGCTTATTTTTGTTCACAAATCGCTCTGTGTACAGTCTTCCATGGTGATACAGGACGGTTTTGATAAACAATTCGCTGATTCTCTTCACAAGTTGAGTGCCGTGATCGTCTTCCTCTGTCAAGTCCTGCTCAAGGAAATGCTCAGACAGATCACCGAAAACCGATCCGCGAACTCTAAGTAACAGGTCTTGCTGGACGGATGTAATAAGAGCTGGAGAAGTTCCTAGTGGATTAGGCCTACTTTGCGTACCTTGTGGAACACTAGTCAATGCTTTCCTGTATACACAAAATTAAAAATAAACTGCATCTATTTTTGGCTTTTTGCCTCTTGTTCAGGCTTAATTGTGTTCACTCGGCAGTGGAGGGGGAGCAGTTTAATTTCTTTTTTTCTTTATTTCTTTTTTTTTTGGGGGGGGGGGGATTTCCTAAGTGAATTCTTCAGCTTTATTTTCTTTGGAAACAATTCCAACCATTGAATTGGGAAAGGAAAAATGTTCTCCCCATATGTGCAAGAAATGCCAGCGGGTTCAGGAGGAGCAGATTTTTTTGTGAGGGGATAAAAACTTCTGAGGCTGAATAATATTATTGGATGTATCAATATGGAAAGAACCGAATGGAGCAGGCTGGGTGATGAAATTATTTTGGTTGTATAGGGTCAGTGAAATCACTAATACTATTGTGATAACCATAGAATTAATATTTGAGTCCAACTTTGGTGAATTTTCTTTAAGGGACTTTAA